TAATTTAATAAACTATATTTATAGTTAAATTAATCTATATTATAAGCTAAAATTATTTTTATCAATATTCAATTTTAAAAACTTACAGATAAAATTTTAAACGAGTAACTAATTAATAAAAAGCATTTATCTAATCAAAAGCGGAAAATTAAACTAACTTTTTGCGAAGTATTCCTATACTATCCCGAACTTCTCATAAAAATTGTAAATACTTTTAACTAATTAATTACATGTAAAAATGCAATGTTTATACATTTAAATTCTCAAAAAAATATTCTGTTTCAGAATATAAGATTAAAATGTAAGCTATTATTAAATAAGTCAATAGCTTAAATATATTATAATAAAAAAACATCATAGGTATATGTTTAAACTCTTTAGTGTGTTTTTTTGCTAAAAACCTACGTTTCATCAAGAATTAAAAATAAAATATGAATTTTTTCCTAATGGTTGTGTATTAAATATTTAAATAATAAATTATTATTACAAATTTCCAATACATTTTATTAAAACGACAATAAATTAGTGCATTTTAGATTAGTATAATAATAAACAAAACGTGTAAAAGTTGATAATAGATACAGGAAAAAAACACAAATTATTAAAAAATCAATACAATCATCGCTCCGCTCAGAATTCAAAATTACTAACCTTAAGACGTATGAAATACGTATAGTAAATCAATTTTAAGGTGTAAGATTATGACTGTACCAGCCACGATAAACTAAATACAAATTATTACCTAACCTAATGTTTTCATTAGAAACCACAAAATGATTTTACGGTATTCAGATATATTTCAACAAGAATAGAAGAAATTCAAAGTTTGAGCGTTGGACAGACTTTACGTACAAGTTCTATTTATTATCACTATTATCTCAAAACACACACACACACACACACATAAATACGAGGTGAATCTTAGCACTCAATAAGTCTATATTTGGGGGCGTTAATTTATAATTAACGTATTTTTGCTGGTATCTTAGGTTTATTTCGTGAAATATCAGAGTATAAGATTTTTTAATCGCCATTTTTGATCTAACGTAAGTGTTAAAAAAAAAAAAAAAAGTGCTTTATTCAGAAAAATAGTTTATTATTGTTTAAATTGCCCTTTACATTATTTAGAGGCGTACGAAGAATTATAATCGGCAGTATTATGTACTGATACAATGGCGTATTTAAAAGTTTAAAACCATTATAAGTTTATAACTGCAATTCATTGATCAATCAATATATTTTGCCGGTAGTGAATAATACAGAAGTTATATCCACAAGAAAGGTTTTAACACGTTATCGACTTCTGAATTAAGATATTTATATTTATTAATCAATGAGAATGTGTCGTGGTAGGCATTTATATTGACTAAAAATGATCGATGCATCCAACAGTAATAAACAATAATAAACTTTAAAACATGCTATCCGTATGTTTCTATGTGCAACACATTTTTTCTACTCGTGTTATATTTGACCACGAATGGCACTTACTTTTTTATGTATACATATGTAGTTTGAAATAAATTGAGCGTAAATACTAAATGGTACATAAAAGGTGGTGGCCGCCAGTGTGCTGACCGCATCGGTGTTGAAACCCTCGAAACATAGATTCCACAGTTTTTTATTCAATGTGGTGCAACTGTGGCAGAACGGGATTGTGGCTCTTTGTTGTACGTTTTTTTTTTTTTTTAAAATGATCATAAAAACAATTTCACAAGACATTTTTCTTTTGCTGATGGGAGGATTATGACTACTATCCAGTTTGTGTTCTGCACAATAACTCGAACAAATGGTACATCGTATCACCATGGAATATCATAATATTATAATACTATAGTTGTGCTCAGGGAAATTAGTCGCATGCCGTTGTCTATCGTTTGTGTACGAAAATAAAATTTCAACGCACACTGTAACTGTTTATTGCAAATCGTAATAATATTATGTTGAATATTTGAACAACGCAATATTATTTCCTCCCCATTTCCTATTGACTCTGGTATTTGTCAATCTATGAACTTGGCGAGTAAATTATGTTTATTTACTATTGTTATATTGCTATAATATTAATCAAATATTTCAATTATTATTAAACTTTTCCAAAAACCACGTTTGCGATTACATTAGGAAATACTTTGATCCAATCCATTTGTAGTTTCAATTTTTTTTTGCTTTTTAATATTCCAATTTTACTTATTTGGATTTGTATGCTAGATAAAAATAATTTGCCATTATAGATTTTATTCATTAAAATATTTTTTTAATTTATTTTTTTTAATTGTTCACAAGCGTAATAGGAATATTTTAATAATATGTAATGAGGTGCATAAAATCCGTAAAAACTAATAACTAACCACATTTGAATATAATATAGAGTAATTTAAAAACTTAGTATTATTTTTTGATTTAGTGTATTTTTTTTTTTTTTAAGATCGAGAAATAAATGTATTTAAAATGCATTTAATTTAAAATAATTAATTGTACATTGGAAATGCATTAGTTTCAATTATAAATTAATTTTATTCATTACTTTAAACATAAAAGTAAACACAATTACTTAAATACACATGTTTTAATATTGTAATTTTAATATTTCTGAGTATGAAATCATACACAAATATTTGAATATTCATAAGCCTAGTATATAGGTATATTGCCAAAAAAAAAAAATAAGTATGATAAAAAAAAAAATGGAATAAATATTTTTTAAATAATATGATAATACAGTATATACTTTTAATATATAAATCTGATTATGAAATTATAATCATTTTTAAATTAGTATACAATATAAACAATGACATCAAATCAATTTAATCAAAATTTACCTACTTCTATTGATATGATAATTTTTTAATGACAAATGATATATTTCTATAATTTGAATTCATTGAAGAAATAAAATGAATACGTAGAAAAAAAAAAGTAATTATACGATATTAATTATTGCAAAATAATAAATAAATATTTATTAATTCCTGTAAAATTGTTGATTCACGTATTTACATAATAAAATTTAATTTATATAGGTTACTCCATGTTAAATATTTACACTTAATGAAATAGTTTTAAGTCCATTGCGCTTTTTACCATATTATTACCTCTAAGTCCCAAATATATTCCATTATATTTACCGTTACTACTTCTAAATTTTAGTAACGTTATAGAAACATAGAATATTCGTTTTTTAAATTGTTACTTTGTATACAATATGATTAAACAGCACAATTATTGACTACCTACTAGTTTATAGTGTTTATAGGTATCTATAACTTGAATACTCATAATGTTATATAATTTATTTACTTTCGTGATTTCAAATAGCTTTAACGGCATATTATTTGTAAATAATAGTTTAACAAAAGATATTTAACCTTGATATTAAATAATCAAACAGAAAAGTTCATCATTTCAGTATATCATTTAGAATAATATAAATTCAACTATAGTTTACTTAAAACTTATCACTGTAAAAAATATACTTTTTAAATAACTTTCAGTAGTTATATGTGATATTATTAATAAAATAATAATAATAACAATAATAATAATAATAATAATATATTTACATTAAATAAATTAGTTAATATTGGATTAAGAAGTTGCACAAATTAAAATTTACGTATTTTATAGATTGTTAATTTGGTTTATTGTATGGTCTTACAGTATGCTATTTTAACCTAAAATATGTAGAACTTAGATGAAAAGTAATTGTTATTTTTATAGTGGTATTTAACTTTTTAACAGTTTAATTTTTTTATCGACATCAATAATTATAAGCAAAATCGTTTTTATCCAACGGCAACACCTGGTCACTACAAAAAGACAAAATTACTGGTCACAACCATAATAACGTTCATGAACGATTTGAAACAGATGTTTCCATATCACATAAAAAAATAAAATAATAACTATAAGACGGTTATATTTTATAAAGTTTTCAATTATCCAACTCCAATGCTTTAAGTTGCTTGAAATTTAAAAAATATAATTGTTTCTTCTTAGAATAAAAATATATGATATGAACATAACCGCTTTGCAGTTGTTTTTATTATCATTGTGGCGTACTTTAATTTAATTTAAAAATAAATTAATACAAATATATGATTTAAGTTGTCAAAAAGTTATATTATATAAGATTATGCAGACATACATTATGTAGGTAATTATATTCAGTTAAAAATCTAACCTATCTGTATAAATGCCTGAAGATTTTACCATGAAATTAAACAGGATTAAAAAATTATGGAAAAAATATTATTTATTGTAAAGTAATATTAAAGTTACAGAAGTCGATTTATTCGTTGAAAAATCTAATCTTATGAAATACTAATTAGTTATCTTTGTTTTTTATATCAACTATTGTATCCGATTAACAATTAAATTTACATAGTCGAAATGGTCGTTACTAAAACGTCTTATTTAAATGTTTATAAAAATCACATAAAGATTATAATTGGATTTAAAATTTTTTTTTTATCAAACTTTAATACTTAAAAAAAATAAGTATAATATACCAGATGTTGAAAGATATAAAATACACAGTAAATTCAGAAACAATCGCTACAGATGTTTTTAGAAAAATTTTATTGTCCTCGCAATTTCAAAACAGTTTCAACAAGTATAAATTGTTGCTTGGATATAAAATAAAATGTTTTATTTTTTATTTTATTACATTCGTATTGTTAATTATTTCTATACTACTATTACCACTACTACTACTATTACTAAAAAAAAAAATCTAGCTTCGTAGTTAATTTTAGTATTGTAAGTTTTCATCGCTATTGCAAACGGTTTCTATATTATAGTTTGAGCTTGATACAAAATAAATATTTAAACGAGAAAGTATATGCTTTCCGTAATAATTGATTGTTAAAATATTATAATATTATTACAATGTCGCTATGCCCTTCTACTTAAAACACACTAAAGGGATTTCGTCGATCGCTTTAGACGATTCTTGGTAAATATTATTTAGAGATATTCGAGTATCAAATACTTACGGTTCGATTGCCCAAGTTCTTGACTCTGCAATGTAAGTACGCGGTTCTACCAACTAACCCAGTCACGTTATTTGGCACAGTTTTATCGAACACTGGGCCAATAATTGGTGGAGGGATATCCTGTAGAAATTCCTGCAAGAACTTTCTTGAAGCAGTGGTATCTGTAAACAGACAAAAATATAAGTTAATAACAATTATTATCATTGTTGTAATGATAATTATTTATTTATTATTATTTTTAATTTTCTTGAAATATATGGGGCATCACTAATTATTAAGCGATCGACCATGATCAAAATAAACGAACTGCCAAAGATATTTACAACAAAACCTTCTAGAATTTGACAGGCTAAGCTAACGTAATTTTGTTAAGTGTAAGGTATAATTGTATTTTATTGTTTTCTTTATTTGTATTAACGTTTTTTCAATTTTTTAGACGTAAAAATAATTTATTGCTCCAGAAATGAAAAATTCTAAAAACTTGGCGTGTAATTTGTTGTCTTTTTTCGGACAGTAGTGAATCAAGTATTTCCATCGTACGTGAATATATTATAAGAAAAAAAAATACAATTTTATAAAATATATAAATTAGTTAATATCTGTTAGATATGTGTTCATTATTTTTGAAATAGTTTTTGTAAATGAACAATATAAGAACTAAACTCTGTAAATATTTTTAAACATAATATTGTAATATTGTTTGGAAGGATCACATAATATCGACAGTGTACACAATGAAAATGAGGTAATAAAGTTTTTTCTAGTCTATAAAAAAAATGTAATTTTTCTGCCAATTTATAGATAAAATATTTGGTATTATAAAAACATAGATAAAATCACTAAAACGGTCTGCGATATGTTATTATTATCGTACTACAGTAAAATATCGATCAAGTAATTCATATTAACTTTTGTTCTATTTACTCATATTATTATAATAAATTTAGTGACGATTAAGATGTATTATTATCCACAATATATGTTAATAGTTTCTATAAAAAAAAAAAAAAATTGGTCAAATTGCTTATTTTTCTCCTCAAAATTAATAGTTTACTTAGTTTGATCTTAAGATCAATTTAAAAACTGATTATAGCTGTGTAGGATATAATAACGTTAAATGTAGCATGTCAGAAACATTTTGCGTTTTTATTATTAAAAAACTAAAATTATAAAATGGAAATTATGATCAGTAAACGTGAAAATAATATGATGCTATTGTATTTAATTCTGTATTTATAAACGTATTAAAACACTTAGAACTAATGCATCGCGAAGGCGTTGCTTATACATGTACAATTTTTCCGCTTTACTTTACATAAACGACAAAATGGTTATATTTTTCGTCCGACATTATTCGCTCGAAATCGATAACCGTCTTGTAATATTAACTTAATATCTATATTATTATATAATTTATACATCAGACAATAAGTTGTGATTAACCAGCGGATAGGGATGTTGTAAAAAAAAAAAAATAAAAAAAATAGCTGATACGTTGTTAAGGTGACGGAAACCTATAGGAACTTCAGTTACGTCGAGACGCCCGGTAGTCCGGAACCGAACTCGACCGAGTTCTATACCTATACGGTACTTGTCTATACGTGTAACGAGATTTACCAAACCGGGACGGCCAGCGCGATGCGAACGGAATTCATAATCGCGTATTGGGCACCGAAAAGTTCTACTCGACGCGACAAACGCTAGCTTATATATACATGCAGCAAAGTTGATAATTCCATTAATTTTTGACGCAGAAGTTATCTCGCCGCGTGTACGTTGAATATTAAAAAGAGATGGCCCACGGCTCGGTGCACCTTTTACTTATTACTTATATATTATCATTAACATCATTATTATTATTATTATTATTATTATTGTATAATTATGGTTTATATATATATGTGTGTGTGTGTGTGTGTGTAAGGGGTTTGTGGTAAAAGGGTAATGGTAAGAGATTGTGTTGTCGGTGGCGGAGAGGGGGACGTGTGCGTTAATTATTGTTTATTTTGATATGCATACGTCGGCTGTGACTTTCTGTGCGATGTTTTATACAAAACTTTTGCTCGACCCTATTAAAAATTCTTCGTGTGCCACTAAATATTATTTTATTATAATAACATTATAAACATGTAAATTTGCGGCAGTTTAGGGTTAAAGGTGCCTATTAATATACCGATCATCGTCGGTGCCATCGCAGCCGCAGCTGTAACCTCATCTATTATACGCATAATAATAATATACGTCGATAAATAGGTGTTATCACAGCGCGTATAAAATATGATTTATTATAATACCACGGACTTACAGGCGCGATTACGATTTATTCCACGTTGAACTTAAAATTGTTGCCACCGAGTATTATAGCGAACGTTTGAATAGTCACCACTACCGAAAATACATTTTCTACTGACCAATAGTTTGTAAAACCTTTTAAGGTAAGATTCAAAGTGGATAGAAGAATTTATTGGCTTTAAAAATGGCAGCGTGTTTTATTTCAGTCAGTCAGGCGAGCGTGTGTCCATTTTTCGGTTGGAAATAGTTTTTTGAAGTTTCACTGAAAAACTTTTTATATGAAGTCGGTAATAGAGATGGTTTTTACAGTATAATTTTACATGCAAAGAATTTGAAGAAAAATTGTTAAAACAACAACAAAATTGTTGAAATTTAGAGTAGCTAGCTTAAAACAAAATCAATATTAGTTAAATGGTTCATTACTCAGAAAATAGAAAAAAGAATAATAATAATAACCATTATAAAAGGTATTATTTGTGATATTATTTTTTGTCACGTATGGGTCAAATTATATTCTTAGATTTATTGCAAAAAAAAAAAAAAAATATTTTGGATTTAAAATGTTAACAAACGTTAACATATTTTTATAAAAATCCAGTAATATTATTCTAAGTTTTTATTTATTACTTATTACTTATTAACTATTGGTCTAATGTTTTAAAAACACTTTATGTAGTAAATTGAAATTAAATGAATTAATGATATACTATAGCTTTTATTTAATGTGGTGAGTTACTAACAACTTGAAGACTATTGATTTTTGTAATGGAATAATATCTCATTTTATTTTATTTTTACTCAACGTTTGATATTAATAGTAATGTAAAGTAACTATGCTAAACATAGTAAAAAAAAAAACAAATTTAATGAGAAATAGTTTGTTAAAAAAAAGCGATTCAATAAATCAAGACTACTATTTGAAAAAAAGATTAAGTTTAACTATCTATTTTTTATTAATCAAATTTGTGTTATTTAAAATTTAAAAATATTCTTTATTTCAATTTTGCAGGAAAAAAACCGGTGTGTTAAAATACTCAAATACTTTGTTTGGATTTTAAATTCAAATTGAATACATTTCAGTAATTTTATTGTAGTAACTATGCACTTAAATTAATCTATTTTACAGAAATCGAAAACAATTTTGTTTCATGATTACATTATATTATGATACCATTGTTCAAATATCATTGGTAAATTAAAAAAAAAAAAAAAAAAAAATACTTCAGTTTTGAAACGAATAAATAATTTTCCATCAAATGCACAATGGTTTTTTTTATTTATAGCCTATACTATAAAGTATACAAAGCTACGTAAGAATTTGCTAATTCAAACTTTTTTTTGTGTCCATTTATAATGTGTATTAATATAAATTTAATTGAAAGAATCATTTATTGTTTGATTTCACATTTTAATAATTATAAAATAGTTTGAATACTTCACTTTATATATTTTGATCTACAACTTAATATTATGTGTTCAAAATAATTAATGACATTTAAAAGAGAAAGCGAAAAAAAAATTATTTAAATTTGGCTTTTGATAAATTTTATTTATAATTGCTCAACTAGTATATTATGTATTTTCATATTATATGTTTATAAATATGTGTTTAGTATAAAGTTACAACAATGTAAATGTTTTATTAAGAATGACATTATAATATCATGTATTTAACAATAAACGATACATATTTGTCATATTTTAAATATTACCTTTGGGAGCATTGGGAGCATGTAACTGTTATAAGTGATTGTGTATTTTTTATTCGTTCTATCGAACTATTAATTTCGTACAAAAAATAAATGATACGGAATTCAACTAGTATCCCGTATTCCGAGCTGTTAAACTAGATAATATGTTTGGTACACCTGTGGATGTTAGAATTAGAAAATTTAGTTTTCAATATCCCTTATATTCCTTAAAAAAAAAAAAAAAAAAATGTTTAATAAAATTGAGTAGAGGACAAGCGTAGCATAATAATATTTATAAACGACATTTCCCAAAGGTTTTTTATAATATGGCCAAGTTTTTGATTTTTGTAGTACGGAAATATATAGCCAAAATTTGCGTGATCTTCAGAGTATTATAATAGTCATACGTAATTTAATCATTTCGTGAATGAGTATCATGCAGTTTTGTTAGTTTATACATTTGTCTTCTCTGCTATATTAGTTCAACAGACTATGAATGTTTGCATCAACAATTGGTCAAAAACAAACTCGAAAGCGTCGCATCGTAATATTATACAAGATAATATATAATAATTTATAGTACGTCCAATTAAATGACAATTGCAGATGATGATCATCATTACAACTATAATATGAAATTTCAACATAAATGACTTAACGTATTAATACCAGACATTTTAACGTGACTAAATGTCTGAAACTCAACTGTAGTGGAAGTGATAGTGATGTAAAGTGAAATAAATGTTATATATAATAACCGATGTTATATAATATGCAATGGCGAGTGAAGACGTGAATTATTAAATAAGTTATACACTTGGTATTAAACGTAATTATAATAAACATAGTTATTGTTACATGTAAAAGTTTTGACGTTTGACAAGGTATTGGAAACTTTTAAAGATGCTCTAGTTCTATAATACCTACTATGACAATGATCTATAGATCATTTAACAAAGTATTTTTTGTATTAGTTATCATAATGATTGTCACTTAGTTACAATATAATTTAATGGATAGGACTGTCGGATATTTTATGTAAACTCTCCGAAACTGGTCATTTAAACTTAGTGCACGCATAACAATTTTATTGGTTGAGGTAATTTAGTCACTGTGAAATGTATTATGTTTGTGGGTTATTTAGGTACGATAAGTTGATATCTGAAAATGTTATCGAC